GCCTCCATGTCTGCAAATTCTACTAACTCCTATTTAATGATCATTTGAGTCCCCATCATACTTGAGTTCACCATGAAGTCCAATATTACACTGGATATTCATCCGCAAAGAATTCTGAGAATTCCCAAGGAATGCTTACTACTCTTCCACCATGTGTCACCTCAGGAAACCAGCTATTACAGAAGACAACACTGCTCTCTCCCATCACTTTTCACCAAACCATAACTGAAGCTCACATGTGACCACTGCTGTGCCTTGACTCCATCACTTGACCAGGATGTGGTCTACACTACCAGATGTGGTCTTTATCTACACTAAAAGATGGATAAGACCAGGATATAAGAGTTTAAAATTTTTACCTTATATAAAGACAATAGAAAAGATTTACAACAGAGAAAAGCCTTTGAAAATGTTGACAAAATGTAAACATTTCTAGACTGGATAGGCATTATCTTCCATACAGCCAGCCATCCCATTAATAGGAGTGCTTCTGACATTTTCCCCCCATTTGAAGTAATGACACTTTCCCAGTACTTCAAAGTCCAGAATATGGGTGGTGGGGGTGAGGGGGTTCTTCCCAATCTCAATCTCATATTCACATCTTGGTCTATATAATAATCTATAGACATAAAACTTTGTCCACAATGACACAGATTTATATCATGATGCTGAACAGATTATCTGCTCTTTGTTATCTACATATAATCAATAAGTTTACTGAACTATTCCAAACAGTGAAAATAATACTAGGTAACAATGGCTACATTTAATTGAGACATTGCTAGGCCCCAGGATTACTATCCTAAGAAAATTACATGTATTAATACATTTACTCTTCACAACAATCTTCTGAGATAGGTATTTAATTTATTATTATTATTATTATTATTATTATTTCTATCTAACAAGATGGAAAGTATTACAGAGAGAGAGAGAGAGAGGTCACACTGAGAAGCTGTAACATGTGTAACTGTAATCCCTAAAGAGAAAATGAAAGATAATGAGGTAAAGGTAATAGAAAGAGATCACATCCAAGAATTTCCCCAAAATTGTGAAAATCTGAAGCCAGAGATTCAAAAAGCTCTACAAAAGTCTAAACAAGAAAATTACAAAGAAAATACACCTATATATGTCATAGTGAAGTCTGTGAAAACCAAACACCAAACAATAAAACCTAAAAAGCAACCAGAGAAAAAGACTCCCTTCAAATGAGAAACAGTGAGTCAAACCTATCTTCTCATCAGAAGATACAGAAGCTAAATAAGATAATAATATCCTCAGAGTTCCAAGAGAAAACACTTGTCAACATAAAATTCTAAACCAAATGGGGGTGCCTGGGTGCCTCACTCAATTGAGCGTTCAACTTCAACTCAGGTTGTAATCTCACGGTTCATGAGTTCCTGCCTCACAGTGGGCTCTCTGCTCTCAGTGCAGAGCTGCTTTGGATCCTCTGTCTCCCTCTCTCTCTGCCCTTCACCCCCCCCCCCACTCTCTCTCTCAAAAATAAATAAGCACTAAAAAACATTCTAAACCACATAAAATTCTACTCCAAAAGTGAAAGCAAAAAAAATGAGACATGTAATGAAACAAAACTGGGAGACTCATTAATGAATGCCCACACTAAAGGAAGCATTAAAAAGAGTTCTGGAGAAGAAAAATTATTAAAAATGGACCAAAAAAAAGTAGGCGCGAATGAAATGCAACAGAAGGGGTAAATATGTGGATAAATATAAAAGAACCTAACTTTCTCTAACTAAATATCTTACGCTATACACAAGTTTCACTTCACAAATGTAATTTTTGTTTAAATGAGTCTATTTTAAGCCACAGCATCCTGATGGGCCCTTGTGGGTAGGCAATCACCTAAAACACCACATCTTTCAATGAAGTGATACCAGTGCATGACTCCCACGTTCTCAAAAACCCCTCTATGAGTCCCCACATTTATATTGGTATGTTTCTCATCTTAATGACCTCAGGGTGACTAAATGTTATCAACACCAATATACTTCAGCTTGCCATGGTCCTAACCTCCTGAGTCTGAGGAAAAATACAAAGTTGCCCAGACTTGCATTATAGATTTTCCCTTCACCATAGCCTCTGAGGCACATTTCCTTATGTTTATCATCCTCTTTTTCTTTGTATGGTATACTGTAAGGAAAAGCAGGATGCCAGTAAGTTACATAACAACCTCAGAAGGTCTGTGCCAAGTACTCATTTATTATGTGAAAAGTAACTATGCCAGTTAGTTATCTAGTATCTTACAGCCTTACATTGACACTTCTCTACTCTATAATGCTGAAGCTGTGTGTCTCTAAATTAAGTGTTCCAGTTTCCTTTGCCAACCAGTCTCCTGTTAGTTTTCCCCAAAAGAGGCATTAGTGAGAGATCAGAAGTTGAAAAGAAGGGACAAGAAATTCTTACTTCTTTACTCTGGCAGAATCTTTGGAAGTGCACATGTCTTCTGGATGATCTTGATTGGACTTTAATTGATACAATATTTAGTACCAAGAGACTTGATATTTGCAAAAGTGGTTGAGTTCTATCATATCATATCATATCATATCATATCACCCATTTAACTATTTAACCACTTAATCACTAATTTTTTGGCATCGCAGAAGATGTCTAGATCTTGAAAAATGACTATGGATTAACACAAAATAAATCAGGTGGTAAGTTAGATTGCAACTAACGTTCCACATGTATTATCTTTCCTTAAATAAAACCAAATGCCCTGGAACTGGGCATGTAGCCCTTTATAAAACGTCTTGGGGTGTTTTCCTATCTATACCAACTTCTAAACACCACCCAAAGCAGCAAGGTTTCACCTGGAAGGTTAGCAATATTCTTCCACTAACTTGCTCCAAAGCTGTGAGAATCTTCCTGATCTCTGTCAAAAACTGGCTTGCAGGGATTTGAGTATATACTACAGAACATCATTCTGATCCTCTATCTTGATTAGTAGCAACTACTGTAGATGCCTTGATAACATTTAAATATGTCAGACAACTACTGTAGATGCCTTGATAACATTTAAATATGTCAGAGGCTAGGAGATAAACCCCATAAAAATATGTAGACCCGGCACCATCATGACATTTTTAGGAGTCCAGCAGAGTTTCTCCTTATATAGCCTATCACTAAGAAATTAGAGGAATGCATGTTTGGCTTCTTTGGACTTTGGAGACAACCTACACCACATTCCAACCCACTTACTGATCAGCTAAAAGATTCAGTTGCAAGTGGATTCTGAAGCCGATACAGGTTGTGATGGGTTCTGGTCTGATGTTTTGGCTGTGGTGACCAGCCTTTCCCATCAAACCCAGAATAACTGTGGCAAACAGAACTGCTGAGTGGAGTCTATGGGGTTCACCAACAGACAAATCATAGTGATGTTACTTTGGGATTTTGGACCAAAATAATGCACCCTTCTGAAGATACTATTAGCTTTACAGGAAAAAATAGTATTGGGCTCTGGTAGAGATTAAGTATCTGATCATGGGACGAAACTGGCCCAGGAAGTTACTTCATGAGGTGAGTGTTTCTCATCCATTAACATAAATTTAGGGATGAGAAGCAGTACTCTGTTATCAAGTGGAGGTTTTACATAGAGAAAGAGGTCTCAGAGACACCTAAAGGCACAAGTAAATCACACAAGCAGGAGGCTCAGAATCTTCTGGCACTTTCACAAAATCCACCTTCTGTCAACTCCATTAACCAATTCCTACGACCTTAAGGGAAAATCTCAATGGCCAGTTTAAAGAGAAAGAAATAATTCAGGATTTGTTCCATAGATATTTCTATGTGACATGCTGTCATCAGTCCTAAGTGATTACTATTGCACTAAATCTTAATCAGAAATGTCCCTGAAAGACATCAGTGGAAGGAAATCTTCTCATTGGCCTAACTTTATAAAGTATATATAGTTATTTACTTTGCCTGAATAGATATACAGCCAGAGCTGTGAATCCATACTGATTCACAAGCAACAGATAACAGTTCGGCTTAAAGACCAGAGAACTGGAAAGAAAAAAGATTCAAAGATCTAAGGAGTTCACAGGAAGAAGCATGGAATGACTCTCCCAGGATGGGCACAGAAAGAGAGGATATATTTGTTCTGTGTTATTGATTACTAAAGGGTACCCAGAGCAGAGGAAGTTCTCAAATATTATGTAGACAAAGTTACCCTTCCTGTGGGTGTTAACCAACCTATGCCCACCCACCCTCGGTCTTATTCACACTCAAATAGCCTCAAATAGGACTCACACTCAAATAGCCATGGCAGCAGGAATAGAAAGTCATATATGGGTCAACAGCATGAGCTCTCACCTCACTAAAAAAAAAATCCTGCTTCTATCATTGCTGAATATCCAAACCTTCCAACAGGCCCTAATGGGGTATCATTTCTCAAGAGGATCATCTTAGCCACCTGATGGCAGTCTGATTATATTAGATTCTTTCCTATAATGTTAGGAACCATGATATGCTCTCAAAAAAAAAGAAAGAAAGAAAGTTATTTTTACAAGAATTTTTCTTTCCTTCTCAAAACTTTCTGCCTGTACCACCACCCATGGATTAACAAGACGTCGTATTCACCATTATAGTATACCACACAAGTGGTTCCAACCAAACAATTCATTTTAACATAAAAGTACAGCCATGGGCTAATTCCATGACATTCAGTGGTGGTTTTCTTTCTTTCTTTTTTTTCCGTACATTACTTCTCCCAGATGCACTTAGCCAACATAAAATGATGAAATGGCAAACTCACTTTCAAAATGTGGTTTGTATACTCTAAACTTGTGACCAATACATAGTACTATTTCTTCCATAGCCCAAATGCATGAGTTTGGAAATGAAGAGTTAGAAATGGGACTGTTCCTTTCACTGTGATATCTAAGGAACCACCTAAAGAATTTTGCTTCCCATCCCAGCAACTTTAGGCTGTGATGTTTCAGAGTTCTTAGTTCTCAGAGGAGTAATGCTTCCATCAAATGGCGTAAGTAACAATAATCCTTTTGAAGTTGAGATTGCCACCTGGCCATTGGGGCTTCCCATGGAATTAGATTGAGAGGTACCTACTGAGTGATTATGTTTATGGAAAGGAAGTAGGGTCATTGTTATGCAGTGAAGCCAGGGAAGACTGTGCTTTGGACCCAGGGGAATTCCATGGATACCTCTAAAAATTCAAGTAAAAAAGTGTCATAGAAGACTAGAGTAACCCAAAGGAACCCTACTAAAGGTAAGACCGCTAATTTCTGAGCTACTGCAGGAATGAGTGTTTGAAAAAGTGAAGTAGTCTAACCAGCTCAAATACTGACCAGGGGCAAAGGGAGCCTGGAATGAAATTTTTTCTTCCCTACTTGTTACTTACCCATATACCCTAAAATACACATATAGAATTTTATCCTCTTCTTTCCTCCTATTATTTTATGTAGAATGTGGGTGGTAGTTACACTTTGGCTTAATGTTAACATAATATCCAGATGGGCTTTGCATCTGAAATGAAAAGGATCTAATATCACTCAGGGACAGAGGCAGGAAATTGCTGAAATTGGTGTCTTCCCTATGGAAGAGACTCTGTGCATCCTCCTATGTCCCAAGGAGAATTAGATTTTATTAAGCAGAAGCATGACATTACCTTTGCTATGGTACAAGAATTGTAAATATGAGTAGAAGGGTATGGATGGATGCTGAATATCCCAATAAATGGACTTAGCCAGTTACAGAGCCAATTATTAGTCTCATGCCTGCTGTTCTCAATTCTGTTTAGGAAAGCCAGGACTGGAAGTCTGTTTTCCCAGCAGGCTTACCGGTATGTTTAACCAGTAGGAGGTATGGGTGGGATCAGACACAGGAGTAGGGAAGAAGCAGTGGTTCTTCCTTGCTCTCCCTGTACCTCTTGGGGCATCTCAGGAAGTGGCTACAACTCTGGTTCCAGCCATGAGGCCCTCTTCATGGTTCCAGTACTGATCATGTGGCCTTTGCTTAGTACTCTTAGACTCTGATACCCCCATTTCCTTCCTTTCCTTCCATGAGCCCTAGGATTGGTGATTGTTTCCTACAGTTATTAATTTTAATACTTTCTGCAATTATGGTTAGCTCACCACCCCCATTCACTCTCTGTTTGGAACATATAGAGTGTTTTCTTTTACCCTGCCTTGCATAGCCTTCCTTTAACCATTCCATACATTTCTCCTAGACATTTAAATATCTCACTTCATCTGAATCAGTACTTTTCACAGTTTCTTAGAGTCTGAGAGATTTCCAGAAACCCCCTCAGAGCTACTACTAAAAAAACAGGGGGACAGGAAGTGTTTAGAAAACAGCCCCCTCACTTTAACATATTATTTCTGTTTCATATGTTTTACTTATTTACATTTCTCAGAGGAATTTCATCACAACAAAAGCTTTCACTTGTAATAAAATGTTTGAAATCATGGATCTTTGCCACTGATAAACATGTTGAATAGAATTTGGTCAAGGATGAAAATCTGGCTGTTGCCTCAGTAGACATTACTTTGTTCTTTCCAGAAGGTAGGGGAACACATCACTGGGAAGTTTATTCCCTTCCCTCTTTCTCACTCTGTCTCATCAACTATAATCCTATTCCAATGGCCTTGACCCCCTACCCCTTGTTTCTAGGATATTCTCACTCTCAGGAGTCTGACTGAAAAGTTTCCTGAATGCATTGTGTATCAAAAGAGTGAATTCATCCATAAAGCCTGCAATAAAAATAACCCAAACAAATGACTACCACGTCACATGTCCTATTAGCGAAGTACTTGTGTGGGAACAAAATGTTGTTGTTGGTTCTGTTTTCATTTTTTTTAATACAGTCAGGGCCCCAGTGGGGCATGAATGTGGAATATCATCCCACTTTATAATATATGCACCATAATCTTCTTAAAATGAGTTTTCACTTCAAGAAACATAAGGACTTAAATATGAGCAGCCTGTTTTGTGCGTTTGTGTGTTTGGCATCTCATTACACTTCAGACCATTTTGTCTTCTCAGAACAATTGAATATCATTAGTGGAGGCATATTTTGTTGCCAGAACTTGCTTGGTTGCGATTGTGCTTGTTAAAATGTGTCCATTTGCCAGCTGATGGATGGGAATTCTGAAGGGTGCCTGGTGAGTGAGCATTTGAATATCAGAACTTTCATCTCTTTCTTCCTGAGAGAAAAATAGCTTTGTTACCAACCAACACAAAGCATGAATTGTCCTTGACTTCCCCTCCCTCTTTTGTCTTTTTTGTGTAACACTCTATTTAGCTCACTGAGTTTCTATCAAGGACCCAGAACTGTGCAAGACATAAAAATTTTGGAGCCAGGCAAACCTTGGAATACATCCAGACTCCCCGGCTTTATTTGCATCATGACTTTGGGCAAATCTCAGAACCTCTCAGGACTCAGAGTTTTAATTTGCAAAATGAGCCTCCTAATGCTTACTTCTCAGGGCCATTACAATGAAAATCCCACACCCATTTTGATCACATAGTAGATGCTCGTTAACCGGGAGCTAGTCAAAGTGATAGATCAAAAAAAAATGCATGAAACAACTGGAGAAGAACTTAAAAGAAAATATAGTGCAGCATTAATCAGAATATAAGCGGGCACTAAAATACAAGGTACCCACAAATAAATAGCTTCAGAGGCACGACCTAGAAGTTACAGTTCATTCTTAATATTTGCGGTAGTGAATGTTCTATAAAGTCACCAGGAACACTGAATTCGCAAATACTGACCCATGGCTCCTAGGGTAAAAACAGGGTTAGGTTCCTATGAGCCTCTGATAACATTTTCATCAACTAATCAGTGAATAATTGTGTTATGTATGTTTCTATTTGAAAACACTTTATTTTAATACATACTGTCAGTTCATTAACATTGAACTCATGTCTAACAGCACTATAATGCATGCCTGAATAAAGCTTACCTAGCATATGTATTTTCTCCATGAGGCATATCCAAGCTTTTTTGCTTGGGAACTATAAACAGTAACTCAGCACTCTGCTTGGGGCCACTGTAAATAGATAAATCAACAACAAAAAGCACAAAAGTATTAAAACTGTCATACTAAATAGAACATGACAAGGACACTTGTTTACAGAATGTGAGCTAAAACAAGAAAGCAGAGCATCTCCTGGTTCAACCTCAGCTGGGAATGTATACACAGGGTGACTAAAGTTTTTTGCTACTCTGTGCATGCACGTGTCCACTAATTGAGCATGAAAATGCCAAGAGTATTGATTTGCAGATTATAAATAATATTATCAAATAGGTGAACAGGCAAAAGAAAGAGGGATTCTATAAATAATGAGGACCAACTACAAATACGAGTACGAAACCTTGGACTGAGGAGGGGATGGCTTAAAATGAGTGATGGGAATAGTCCAGGGAGGAAGAGCCGAATCAGCACAGGAAAGAGCATGAGAAAACAGGAACAGTGTCCGAGAACAGATTATATCTGCAAAGAAGCCTCTAGCCCAGATCTCAAGGGATGCATCTGTCCTTCACCCATGATCAAATGCTCCCTACTCAGAGTACCTTTCCCTGGCCTTCTATTAGAACAGCACCTATCTTCCATTGCTCTTTAGTCCTTTTTTCTGCTTTATTTTTCTCCAGAACATACTTTCACAAGTAACACATACAAGTTTTTATTTGTAAATTGTCTGTCTGTCCCAGTCAGAATGCAGACACCATGAGGTCGAGACTTTATACACTTTGTTCACTGGCCCAGGAACCTAGAGAGAACCTGCAACAATGTGGTCATCCATAACTGTTGGATCAAGATGTTAGCTTTAAAAATAAAACTGTCCGTTAGTTTGCCAACAAAATGGGTTTATTTGGGGGAAAAGCAGAGGATTGCAATTCAGGATGTGCAAGTTACAATAAAACTATAGACAAGTCAGGAGAACAAAAGAGAGGAATGATCTTTTATAGAGGAAAGGGGAAAATTGGGATTGATTGTCATAAACATAAAGTCCCTTGGTATGTAGCTTTTCATTGGCTGAGTTGAGATGGTTTCCTATTGGCTGGGCTGTTGCTAGGCAAAGAGAAAATTTTTCTTCTACTTGCAAGGGTAGTAAAGTAGATTTCTTCCTACTGGGAGTGCAAAGTACCTCTCTTCCTGTTGTCTCTACAGGTGACAGTGTGGAGGACTTGAGAGCTCCCCCTGCCGTCCTCCTGGCTCCCTTTTAAATGAGATTTCCTTTTATTAATTTTCACAAGAACAAGAATTACAATGAATCTGAATCACACATTAATCCCACCTTTCATCAGAAAGGAAATAAATAACAGTTTAAGTGAATAGTCCTATTAAATATGGAAGATTTACAGTGCTTCTGATCCTAGAGGCAAATTTTAAAAAGACACATGCCTGATTATTCCATGTTGGTTCAAGATACTTTCCTACTCCAAATCTTGACAGAAATCATAGAAAGCATCTACCCTTAACAAAAAACAACTTTCTGGCCATTTTTCTGTCTGTTTCAATTGTAACTGTAGCCGACTGGTATAATTTGAAGGAATCTGGAAAAACTCTCTATAGTGTTAACAGTGTCCAAAATGAGAGTACTGCAGAAACCTTGAAGTCAAAAAGCTTTCAAAATTTCCACTGTACCTGGATAACTAACTAATTAAACTACTGTCAGTCATTAATACTTTAGTGTAAATTAGCTTATCCTGGCATTTTAAGCAGTAATGATGTAATTCCAAACTGTAATTTTAGAGAATGAGAAAACTGAGATGCATAATGGGAACATAGTTTTATAACTAATCTAGTAATTTGAGACATGACAAAAATGCTGGTCTCCTGGCATTCAATTAACTATGGCATTCGGATTCAAAACCTTTCTAGCAGAGGTGTTTGAGACCATCTCCTAATGAAATTTCCAATTAGTAAATCCTTATGAGGAAAGGGTATAAACCCCCAATAAAATGCAAATATCTTAACTGAAGAAAATGCAAATAACTTGGAAAGGTATTATCTTCAATTGGGTTATCAAATTACTGTTCCCAGAAGCCGAGTACCATCTTAGTAATACAATATCCTATGATAAGCAAACTGGGTTTAAATTTTGGTAACAAATAAAGGACTCAAGAAAAGGTTGGAAGTTCTGGGAAGGCCTAGGGCCATTGTGCAGAGGAGGCAAAATGAAGAAAGCTCAAGAGAGGCATAGAGGAAAGTCACAGGAAAGAGTTCCCCAATGCAAATATCAGCTTTTTCACTTTTCTAC